CTTTTCAAGACAGGGTTTCTCTGTGTAGCTCTGGCTGTCCTGGAACTCACTTTGGAGACCAGGCTGGCCTTGGACTCAGAGATCCACCTGCCTCTGCCTCCTGAGTGCTGGGATTAAAGGTGTGTGCCATTACTGCCTGGCTAAGAATTTCTTAATTCCAAGTTTTATATCTCAATATTTGCAGTTAAAATGACTAAAAATTGACTGATGTCATATGTCAATACTTAGGTGACAACTTATAGAAAGTCAGATCTGCAACTTGATGGGTGACAGTTCCTTTCAACCAAAAGGTAAGCATTGCTTCAATAACTGATACTCATGTGCAGCTGATGTATAATTATACTTTATAATAAAGGGTGAGAAGTGGGACACATCTTAAAACCTTGGAACGATTGAAGTAACAAATGAACTAACAAGTCAAGTAGAAATGAAGTATTTTATCTCTACTAACAGAAATAGCTACTATTTATCAGTTTGGTATACTTTATCACATATTTCTTTTATGCTTGTCTGAACATTTATAAAAAATTATATAAAAGAATTATAGATTTTTCTTAAGAATCTTTAATATTAACAATGGCAGAGCCTTGTTATTTACACACACACACACACACACACACACACACACACACATACACACAAGTATATATATGCTTGCATGTGCTGTATACTTTATTAGTTTACAAGGGTTGTCATAACAAAATATTATAAACTAGGGGCTGGAGAGATGGCTCAGAGGTTAAGAGCCCCGACTGCTCTTCCAGAGGTCCTGAGTTCAATTCTCAGCACCCACATGGTGGCTCACAACCATCTGAAATGAGATCTGGCACCCTCTTCTGTGTTCATGATAAATAAATTAATATTAAAAAAATATTATAAACTAGCTGGTTCAATTTGGTAGAAATTTATTTTTGGACATTTTTTTAAAGGTTTATTTATTTATTATATATATGGTGTTCTGCTCTCATGTATGCCTGCATGCCAGAAGAGGGTACCAGATCTCATTACAGATGGTTGTGAGCCATCATGTGGTTGCTGGGAATTTAACTCGGGACCTTTGGAAGATTAGCCAGTGCTCTTAACCTCTGAGCCATCTCTCCAGCCCCCAAATTTTTGAGTGTAGAAAGTCAGGACCAGAGTATTGCTAGACTTGATGTCTTCTGAGAGTGGGTGAGAGAAAAGCTCCAGGCCTCTTATAAATGACCACATTAAATTTGTGTCTGATTGTGACCCTATTATTAAGAACATGGTAGAATATTGTCCTAATTTTGAGTTAAAAGTAGAAATGACACTTTTTTGGTATAATAGAAAAAAAAATACTTAGAAATGATAAAAGATACTATTTAAAGTAGAACCTCAGATTATTTCTTTGGTAGACTTACTATCTTCATGTCTGGATAAGCTCCACTGATACTCATGTACATAGCTGTTCTATTAGTTGAGGCTCTTAACACTGTTTTCCTTCCCCACCTTGCCTCCCCCGTTGTTGGCATTCCATCTTTTTCCATTACAATGTGAAGCAATATGCATGTAATTTAAAGAGCCAAACAGTCTGAAAAAGGCTTTAATTGACTCTGCCAAAGTTTCATGAAGTTTTGTGTGCATGTATGTGTGTATACTATTGCACCAATTTTACTAACAATGTTAGATAATTAAAGATGGATGTTTTAGCTTTTTTTAAAAAAAGTATCCTTTTCATTTCTAATTTATGTGTATGTGTGTGTCTGAGTTTATATCTTTGTGCATGTAGTGCTTGTAGAGACCAAAAGAGGGCATTGAATTTCCCTGGAGCTAGAGTTACAGGGAATTGTGAGCCACAATTATTCAGAATAGAGCTTGGAGTACTCTAGAAGAGAAGCAAATGCTCTTAACTGTAGAGCTATTTCTCTAGCCTCTGTTTTAGCTTTCTTTTTATATATGTAACTTATTTTATTGTTTTTAATTATGTGTAGTGTGTGTGTGTATGGGAGGGGGGTTATGTTCATGTGTGAATGTAGGTGTTCACAAATCCAGAGGAGGGTGCCAGATCTGTTGGGCCATCTTCAAGAGCAGTATATGCTCTTAACTGCTGAACAACCTTTCCAGCCTGTTTTATTTTTTATATTTTTCAAGTTTTGTTTTCCAGAGACAGGGTTTCTCTGTGTAGCCCTGGCTGTCATAAAACTTGCTCTCTAGACCAGGTGGGCCTTGAATTCAAAGATCACCTGCCTCTGCCTCTGAGATTAAAGTTGTGTACCACTACCACTTGGCCTGTGAGGTGATCTTGAAGTTAACTTTTGTTGTTGTTGTTGTTGTTGTTGTTGTTGAGACAGGATTTCTCAGTGTAGTTTTGGTGCCTGTCCAGGATCTCACTCTGTAGACCAGGCTGGCCTGGAACTCACAGAGGTCCGCCTGCCTCTGTCTACAGAGTGCTGGGATTAAAGGCGTGTGCCACCACTGCCCGGCTTGAAGTTAACTTTTTTTTTTTCTTTGAGACAGGGTTTCTCTGTGTAGCTTTGCACCTTTCCTGGATCTCACTTTGGAGACCAGGCCGGCCTCGAACTCGCAGAGATCCGCCTGCCTCTGCCTCCTGAGTGCTGGGATTAAAGGCATGCGCCACCACCGCCCAGCTGAAGTTAACTTTTTAATCCCGTCATGTCCTGGCGAAGTCTTCTTAAAGTGCTGCTATCCTGCATCTATCCTATTTATTTGTTGTTCTCTAGACCTACTGACTTACTACTCTCTTCTGGGACTTTCTTTTGTATCCAATGCTATGTCCTGTGCTCCTTATGTCTTACTTTTTGTTCATTATGCTGCGTGTATGTCTGTGACTGTGTGTGTGTGTGTGTGTGTGTGTGTGTGTGTGTGTGCATATTCATGACTGCATATGTACTGAGATGTATGGGGAGGGAAATCAGAGGACAGTTTGTGGGAGTTGGTTCTATTCCACTATTTAGGGACTGGGGATCAAACTCAGGTCATCAGACTTGGCAGCAAGCATCTTTACCCACTAAGCCCTATTAGTTTTATTTCTATTCATACATTAATTTCTTTGGTGCCTCTGTTTCTTTCCTCTATTTTTCTTGCTTTTTTGTTATCTCTTTCTTAGAATCCTTTTAGTTTGTTTTTACTATCTTTTGATCTTTTACATAGGAAATTTTCCTTTCTAAAATTCCTGGTGCTTATCCATCCACCTTTAAGAGAGAGGTGTTCCTTGGTTAGAATTTCTAAGTAGTTTTTTCTGTATGCATTGCTTTATTGAATTTCTTTAGGGAGAAATGTGTAATTCATTCTACTTGAGATAAGCTTCAGTCCTTTCCTGTTTTTCTCTAGCACCATATCCCATTTTTTTTGCTCTTGTGCCTTGCATTTGTAAATCTGGTTCATTAATTATAATTTGTTTCCCATCTGTGGCTTCTTATTACAGTCTACCTCTCTTTTGTTAAGTCTTTTTTTTAAGGCAATGGATAGGATATAATCCTTTTTGTGGAGATAATCATTCTATATGTATGACTGAAACTCATTTTGACTGGATTTTCTAGCTGCTGTAAATAAATAACCATTGTCTGTCTAAAGTCTACTAGTTTAGAGCTTAGAAAGTAAGATCTCAGTTTCTTACTGTTATCATGTACTCATCACAAACACCAATTCAGAAATTGTTACTAGGATTATTAAAGTAGATTTCTAATATGTTATATATAGCAAATAACTTTTTTAATTAAAAGAAAGTTGCTTCTTTTAAAAATTAGATAATTTAAAAATGGCAGAACTCTTCATGGAGTGTGAAGAAGAGGAGCTAGAACCATGGCAGAAGAAAGTGAAAGAAGTTGAAGAGGATGATGATGACGAGCCCATCTTTGTTGCAGAGATAGCAAGTTCAAAACCAGCAATTTCAAGTAAGCATTTACTTTGAGTGAAGGCAGTTGGATAAGGTTATTTCTTAGGGTTGTTGTGAAAATGTCCTCATCCCACCGTTAGAGGTTAGGAATGAGATACCTACTGGAAGACTGGTCAGGGTTGACTCTGACTGGAACTTTAAGAAGGGGTAGGTGCCAAGTACCAGCAGAGTAAGCAAGGAAATGCACGGGATTTTCTGGTGACATTGGAGCTCTTCTGAGAGCAGAAATTAAAATTTTAGTGGTGCTGAATAAACCAGTTTATCTGTTTCTTTTTCTTTTTTCTCTCTTAAACCCAGAGTAGCTTAAAGGGAAAATTTAGAATGCTTAGCTTTAATTTTTGAGATGTACTAAATAAATTTTGTGTTAATTTGAGATGAGAATCTCATGTCCAGGCCCCACTGTCGTCATCTCCACTCGGCTACAAAATGCAGAGAGAGTGTGTGATAACGCTTACAGCTTCTGACCACAGCTGTCTTTCAGCAGCACCTTATGTATGTGATACTGAGGGTGCTGCCTCAAGCCATTCATTGTGTTTTTCTTGTGTCACAGTTAGTACACTCCCATCTCAGGCTTTTTAGTAGTACACTCCCATCTCAGGCCTTTGGATTATTAGCTTTCAGTTAGAATGTTTGGACCTAACATTGTCACAGTGTTAAGGTAAGAAACTGATAGCTGTTAAGCTGTCTACTCAGAAATGTCTAAACAGAGCCAGGTGGGGTAGCTTCACAGCACTAGAGAGATACTTGGGGAGGCAGGTGAATCTCTGTGGCTTCCAGGCCAGCCAGGGCTAGATGGTGAGACCTGTCTCAATGGAAAAAAATCCAAAGTGTATAAATTTCAAAGATAAAAAGATTCTTTCTCATTTTAATTACGTTTAAGCCCGAAAAAGTTATCAAAATTGCTAATGTGTCCAGCATACTAGTATTTCTTATTTTACCTTGGTTAACAGTAAGAGAGTACTATGAAATTTTCTGAAAGCGTACTTCTTGCTTTTCTTGTATAGGATTGGATTGGTACTTTTATACAGTTTTATAATAGAATAATTTAACCAAATGAAATGTCACTATCATTTCCTGTGATAGATAGGTAATTTCCCATGGAATGCTAAGTGAGATGCTATTTGGATTATAAAATAAGTTGAGTATGATAGTGTGCATGTGACTAATATCAGAATGGTCTGTTTTCTTATTTATCGTTTCCTAGGTATTGATTATCTTACACTTGAATGTTACTATATTGCAATATTATTATTCAAAATCTCAATGAAAATATGACAGGATTCAAGTTGAATTTATACTGATTAGAGATGACTGTTAACTGTACTCAACTATAACAATGTATATTAGTTTTAAGATGATTCTGTAAGAAAGAGATTGACATTAGATTTTTTTTCTGAACTGTGAAGATGAAAAATTAAAATGATTATATTATTTTATCTGGAGGCCATAGGAGTTTCAACATATGAAATGTGAATTAGATGCGTAAGAATTTGTCTTTTATAGATCACAACCACTAAAATAGTATATTAATAGTTATTTGATAGTTTGATTTTTTTTTTTTTTTTTTTTAAGTTTTGGTTTTTTTGAGACAGGGTTTTTCTGTATAGCTTTGGAGCCTGACCTGGAATTTACTCTGTAGACCAGGCTGGCCTTAAACTCACAGGGATCCACCTGCATCTGCCTCCCGAGTGCTGGGATTAAAGGTGTGTGCCACCACTGACCGGTGATAGTTTAAATATTAATCTTGGTTTTCTGATTGAAAAAAGTCAAGTTGTTTGAGTAGCTTCTTTTTCTTATAAAATTAATGTAGTACTTGATTAGTAAGCACTGTGTTAACATTACTGAAAAAATATTAGCTAGTCTAACTATTTTACAAAGATCTATTTAGTTTTAATTTATGTGTATATGTATTTGCCTGCATGTATGTATGTATTCAATGAGTACTTGGTGCTCACAGAGGTCAGAAGAGGTTATTGTATCCCTTCAAACTGGCAATACAGGTGGTTGTGAGATACCATGTGGGTGCTGGGACTTGAACCTGCAAGAGCAAGTTTTCATTCTTTCAAATTTTTGTTTCCTGAGTAAGCTAGATGTTAAAAACTTTGCACATTCATATGTATGTAAGAGTAAGAACTTTAAATCAGTCCCTCAAAGTCATGCCAATCTTAACTTCTGATAAGATGATAGATTTGATCCTCTTAACTTATAAGATATTCCAGTAAACTTTAGATTCATTTTAGTCTGTAACTTCTAGTAGTTTCCTTTTTGGAACTCAAAGATAATGATAAATAGTCCATGGAAATTCTCCTTTTAGAACTGTGAATAGAATATGGAGAATGGATCGGGGTTTAATTTTAAGTCATAGGAACCCAAACATATATACAATTCTGTCACCATCCCTAGGAAAGTATAGACTTCAACTCCACACAACCATATTTAAATATGTTTTTAGAAGAGTTTTTTTTTTTTTTTTTTTTTTTTGGCTTTTTGAGACAAGTTTTCTCTGTGACATCCCTGGCTGCCCTGGAACTCAGGCTGGCCTCAAATTCACAGAGATCTGCTTGCTTCTGCTTCCTGAATGCTGGGATTAAAGGTGTGTACCACTAGGCCTGGCTTTTGGAAGATTTTATGTGGACAAAAATTTCTTTCCCTTGTAGAATGTTTGGCTTATATGCATTTGGATTTATCATTTGGATTTATTATACTTCTGGCCTTTGGACATTTAGTTATAATGAGAAAGATTGTGCTTATTCTATAAAACAGTTAATGCTGATAAAATATTTTCAAATTAAGATAATATTCCTTCTAATGTTTTCAGTTCATAATTTTAATATCTCTATTTCACTCAAACAAATTTAAAATATCTGTATTTTTTTAGATATTTTGAACAGAGTTAACCCCAGCTCCCATTCACGAGGACTAAAGAACGGTGCACTTAATCGAGGTATAATACTATTGTATTACTTTAATTTTAAACTAAAATAGTTTGAAAAACTTGATTATATAGAAATGTATTTAATGTGTTGTGTAATTTTAAAATACAGGTTTTGCTACTTCATTCAAGCCTACAAGTCAGCGCTTCCCTAATCCAGCATCAAATCCTGTGGCTGCCTTGCCAGTCAGTTTTCATCCTGAACCTAGATCTTCAGATAGCTCTGTTATTGTTCAACCATTCTCTAAACCTGTAAGTGTTTTCAAAACTATTTAGTCAGTTTGAAATATTAACAATACCCAATTAAAATTATAGATTATCAACAAGTAGTCACCTATTATCATAATGGGTACCACAAAAGGTTAGTCAGATGGGGAATATGCTTAAACTGGTTAGGTATAGCTTTGGAAACGAAGACTCTCAAAATGTGAATACAAAGATTATACTGAAGATCACATGATAGCAAAATATTTATGCTTGCAAACTGGGCCAGGTACTTTTAATTTTGAAAAATTATTGAGAAGCCTTGATAGTGTTTTATTCTGAGAAATGTACCTTCATACTTTAGTTAAAAATCCTTAGTAAAAAGTAATAGATAATGGTAATAATTAAATTTATTAAGCTACTAATAGGCAAATATTTGTACTAAATGCCATACATAAAATAATCTCATTTAATTCTTAAATATACCTAGGAAGCAGGTATTGTTACTTCCTCCATTTTATAGTTAAATAAATACTGAGTTTATAGTGATTAAATGATTCACTTAGGACTCATAGCTGAGTGGATCTCAGATCTCAGTATAGGCTAATCTATAGTTTATCTGTATATGCATATATATACATGTGTATATATTGTATATGAGTGTATAGTGTGAAAAATGAAAGTATTTCCTCAGCTTAGCAGTTCTAAGGATGGTGTGCAATTCTGGAGGATTCCTTAAGACACTTTCAGGTGTTTGATTTCAACACCATTGTCAAGATAATTGAAGACACTTTCTTTTTCACTGTTTGACATTTGCATTGACGACACAAAAACAGTGCTGACCAAGCTGCTGATGGCTTATTGTGAGTCAAAAAAAAGCACTCATCTGCACCAAAGTTTGTGGGTTAGCCACCACCATGCATGCCCAATGAAGTATATAGCCAGTTATAGCCAGTTTTTCAAAAAAGTTTTGCAATGTATTAAACATGTTATTTTGTTAACTATACCCTTGAATATGTGTCTTTTTAAATATTCTGTGTGGCGAAGTGTACATAAAGCATTTCTGTGTCTGAAATATCTTGATGATTGTCTTTAAGGAAAAGCATTAGCATGATTAGCAAGCTGAAATACCTGATGCATTTTAATTGAATGCATTTTTACTTGAAATAATGACTGACAAGTTGTGGTATATTATTTCTTCATATTGCCATAAACTAACGTATATTAATTATTTTATAGTCTTACAGTTTGTGTTGGTGGGAGGTAGATTGTAGCTTAACTGGATCCTCTGCTTTAGGGCCTAATAGGACTACCATTCAAGATTTGGTCCTCAAAGCAGTCTCATCAAAAGCGTTACTGGGGAAGTGTCTTCCAAGTTCAGATGCTTGTTGGTAGCATTGGTTTCCTAAAAGATTGTCAGAGTGAGTCTCAGGATCCTTCTAGGTTTTGACTTACTCCTTGCCATGTGGGTCTTCCCAACATGACTACTTGGCTCCTGAAAGTAAGGGAGAGTTCTTTGTTGTTGTTGGTGTTGGTGGTGTTTTGGTTTTAGTCAGCTTTTCTCTGTGTAGCCCTCTGGAACTCACTCTGTAGACCAGGCTGCCCTCAAACTCAGAGACTTGCCTATCTCTGCCTCCTGAGTGTTGAGGCTACTGCCTGACTTGATTTTCTTAGTTTTAAGAAACAATTATGTTCATAAAATGATGTTATATACTTTGTCATCTTTACCATATTATTTTGTTAAGAATCAAGTCAGCTGTCCTAGCCACATTAAAAGGAAGGGAATTATATAGGATATGAATATCAGGAGATGGTACCATGGAGTCCACTTTAGAATGAAGTTATTCAGTCCTCAGTTTGGTACAGATTTCATCAATGTTGAACATAGTGTGCCTTCCATTTATGGGAAACGGCTGATAGTTGTGTTCTTTCTTACCAAGGATAAAATTTGAGCTGTCAAGAAAAAAATTAAAATGTTGGAAATCTTTAATCTGCCATTTTGATCTTGACAGCTCCCTAGTATTTCAAGACTTTTCTGATGGGTGGTATAAATAAATGGATTTTTTGATGATGTGTAGTGAACTTTTTCAATATTTTCAATATTTCATAAAATAGTTTATGAAACCAATAGTTTGTAACTAACCAAAGTATATATGTTACTGAAATGTCTGAATAAGAGTATATTGTAGGCTAATGATTTTAATGGCATAAGGTATCAAAAGTTCACAGATGAAAATTTCAGATTTCATCGTGATATACCTTTAAGAAAGTACTGCCTTATGAGTTTTAGTAGGATCAAAGTAGTATCTCAACAGGGGTAATTCACACTACTGAAATGCTCCTTTCCATTACATGTTGTCATGAGTCCATATTCTCTTTTGAGCATTTAGCTTAGTTATTAGAGAAGAGAGCTTGCCTAGTACACACAAAACTCTGGGTTCAAGCACATACAACTAATCCCAACACTTGGAGATGTAGAAGCAGGAGGATCAGGTGTACAAGGCCATCCTTGACCACATAGTGAATTTGAGGCTAACCTGGGATAATGGAGACCCTAGCTCCCAAAATGAAAATAAAAATCGCAGAGATATAAAATACTTTTTTTTAATGTATCTTCAAATAATTTTTTTATAAAAATGCTACTCATGCTGATCTATAATACACTTAATGTAATTTAAAAATAAAGTAGTATTTAATATATTTCTGTTTTAAGTTCTAGTTTGGTAAATATCTATGGATTTACCAATGTGAAAAGTGTTTTGGGGTTTAGTTATTTTTAAATGTTTAAGATCAACTTGATGCTGGAAAGTTAGGTTAGCACTGCCTTAGTGAATAGTAGTAGTTCTTCTTTAGACAAAAACCAGGAGAGTCTACTGACTTTCTATCTTGGATCCTGTAAGGTTCCAAAGGCTATTCATGTTCTTCAAAAATACAGTAAATGTTATAGTGAATTTGTTTTCTTGTACTTGTCATTAGTTGTTCGACATTTAGAGGAGAAAACTAGAGAAGGAAAAGCTGACTAACAGAGTAAGAGAAACAAACCCCACTCTGAGGAAGAAAGCAGCAAAGGGTGGCATTTCAGCTCTAGAAAAGTAGAGACTGGAGTCCTTTCACTTCAGAGTGTTTCCTGGCTGTGGACAGAAGACACCCCAACTGACGGGTTGTACTCCTGGAATCCTGTGGGGAAAGAGCAGATTGGCCAGTTGGTTTGTACAGTGCCTAGAAATCATACATTTAAGTCTCAGTTATCTGTGTGGTCAAAGCTAAAATCACAGACTTGTGTTCTGGAATGAAGCTTCTTATTTTAGGGGCTTTCCCCATGAATGTTGGAAGCTACATTGGCTTTAATTATTATTTTTATTGGTTTTTTAATTTTTAATTTAATAAATTGTAATTAATAGTTTAACATTTTATGTCATGTTTTTAATTTTTCATGGAATATCTTTGTATCTCAACACTATTCAGGCAGGTATGGAAATATATTACTGTTAATATCATCAATAAAGTTAATATGTATGACTAATGGGTATGAATATCATTGATAATGTCAATATGATATATGACTATTGAGTATGAATTACTTTGTTTCACTTATTTACTTATTTATTTATTTAATTTTAGTTTTTTGAGACAAGGTTTCTCTGTGTAGTCTTGGATGTCCTAGAGCTCACTTTGTAGACCAGGTTGGCCTTGAATTTATAGAGATCCACCTGCATCTGCCTCCCGAGTGCTGTGATTAAAGGTGTGTGCCACCATCGCCCTGCTCTGAGTATGAGTTTTATGTCTTCATTTAGACTTGGATTATAGTTTCAATCTATCAGTAACAAATGATGCTGTTTTGAGAGCCTTCCTCAACCACACCTAACCTTAGCCTACCTGTCTATATATTGGGAAAGAATGTTAGGTCTTCATTAATACCACTGTGATAACTAATTGATATACATTTACTGTGACAAGCAAGCGAACGTAATGTATACGATGTGACATTTTAGTTTGTTAGGTTAAGTGGTTAAATAAATGTTGGTTATCCTAATTCTATTCTAGTATCTACTTTACTCTTACTACTGCATTTAGCAAACAATTTTCAGGTAGTCCATTTTTTAGTTATTCTGAACTTTCATAAGACACTGAAAAATCTGTTTGAAAATTCTTTTTAGTTAGTTATTTGTTGACTAATAGGTTGCCTTCTTTGTAATACTAAAGATACTTAATAAATTACTTTTTAGGGATGTGTTTAGTAGGAATAACTGTTACAGTTTTGTTAAAGAGTTTTGGTTTTTCATTTTGTTTTTGACAGAGCAAATGAATATTTGAAAGTACAAATATTTGGAAAAAGTGTTTGCTTTAATGAAATAAGATTGTATTTGGTTACTGTTAGGTCATGGAATTAATGAATTTTTTTATTTTATTTACACTACATCTTAGGTTCAGATGCTCATGTCTGCCTCAAATTCTAAGTATGGTATTGCTTTAGGATTATAAATTATTTCTATGATCTTATAACAATCCCATATCAGTAAAGTTAGTAATAAAATGAAATTCTTAATTATCCTTTAATTTATAAGCACAAAACAAAACCTACATGTTTTTGAAAGATAAACATATCTGAGGGGAGTTTAGAAAAGACAGAAGAATTTATTGTTTATCAGTTTATGCGCCATAAGGAGCTCAATTGTGCAGGTCAGCACGTTTACTTTTTCACTAAACAGTCTATGAGGACCGTGTCCTATTTTTCGAAAGCTTGATAGTAATGGTTATATGATAACTCATGAGTTTAACTCTTATCTATTATTGAAAATATAGGGTTTAATCTTCATTAAGCTTTCTTTACCATAAATTCTTGAAAGTTTAATAAAGGACACTTTCGAGACTTTTATAATTAACTGAAGTCTTTATGTAAAGTCATCCCAAAATATAACCTAGTTTGCCAATAGTGAATATTATCCTTCCTTTAATTTTATTAAAATTAATATTAGTCTTGCAGAAAAGGTAGGAGAGAGTTCCTATATTTTTCTCATCTAGCTTTCCTCATGTTAACATCTTACCTCTTATGGCTAACAATTAATGTTAACCAAACTTCAGATTCATAATTAGAACGTGACCAAATTTCTACTGATGTCCTTAGATCTTGTTTTTGAGTCTACCTTGCAGTTACTCTTAACTCTTCATTCATAGTTTTTACAGTTACACTTTTCTATTCATGACTCTGACAACTAAACATTGTAAGTAAGTTATTTTTAGTAGACATCATTTTTAAACAATACTAGTTTGTAATCGTTAAATATTTGTATTTGCATCTTTCTGTCCAGTAAATTAAAAAAGAGGGTATATCAAGTATATTCGTCTTTAGCGTTTTGTTTTTGAACTAGTATATACCCTTCTATTTTTTTGTTGTTAAAACAGCTCTTTTTGAGACAAGGTTGCCCAGGCAATCCTTGAGCTGGCGAAATAGCCAAGGAATGCTTTCAATTCCAGATCTTCCTATTTTCACTTTCTGAGTGCTGGGATTCCAGGTGTGCACCTTGGTGCCTGGCTTTTTTTTTTCCCCCATGGGAGGGGTCATTTTGATACTTAAGCATTGTTTAACTTAAAACCCATTTTATCATGTGGAAGGTCCAAAAATCAGTTAGAACTTACTTTGCAGAGTGATTATTGTTCCTTATGAGTCATATTGGATTATATTTGTGTGTGCACATACATTAGTAAACTTGTTATGTAGTATTGGAGCTTATATCTCTAGTTGTATTGACCACTTCATAATTATACTGAATATGTATACAGTTACATAGAAACTTATATTGCTCTATTCTTGACCACATTACAGTCCATCTCATACTTTTCACTATGCTCTTAAGATTTTGCTAACTTGGCTAAAAATTCCTTTGAGCTCTAGTGTATGTAGTTGGTTGTTTTTACTCTTTGATCTGTGGCTCTTTTTCTCTTTGGGAGGCCCACCACCCAGCTCCCAAATAAATATCCACAGAGGCTTATTCTTTTTTATGAATGCCTGGCCTTAGCTTGGCTTATTTCTAGGCAGCTTTTCTTAACTATCCCGTCTACCTTTTGCCTCGGGGCTTTTACCTTTCTCTATTTCTGTATATCTTTTCTTTCCTTCTTATTTCATGTCTGGCTGTGTGGATGGCGCCTCATGCCCTCCTTTTTCTCTTTCCTCTTTCTCCCCAGATTTCTCCTCCTCCTTCTTATTCTCTCTTCCTGCCAGCCCAGCCTATCCTTTCTCCTGCTTTGCTATTGGCCATTCAGCACTTTATTAGCTGAGTCAGGTGTTTTAGACAAAATAACACAGCTTCACAGGATTAAATGCAACATAAAAGAATGCAACACATCTTTGCATCATTAAACAAATGTTCCACAGCATAAACAAATGTAACACATCTTAAAATAATATTCTACAACACTCTAGGTCTCTTGGAGAAGGCACATGGGCTGAGGTATTTTATCAGCTGCTTCTGTTCTAATCTCTTTCTGATTGGCACTGGTACTTCATTCTATGGCCCAAGTTGCTTTCTTTTTTTTTCCCTGTGACATTTGACATTCCTTGGCTTAGGATAGATAGGTTTCTGTGGAACAATTAGAAAAGTAAGGATGCATTATTTTTCTTCATCGCTTGAAATTCATTTCATATAAAAAAAATTCACCCTCAACAGTGATATTTGGGAGTAGGATATAAGAGTTACTGAAGCTTTTAATTTTTTACATTCATGCCACTATGTTTTCATTTTTCCTCTTTGTTTATGCAGAGTTTTTACTGAGTTCTGTTATTTACTTCTTGATGATATATTGCAGTTTTAGAACCTCTAAGCATGTGTTGGTCTTACAGATATAAAGTAAGTTTGCATTTCTTTTACTTTGAAAACACTGGATTAGAACTTGCGGCCCAGGTTAGGTGATCAGTTTTAGCTGGGCACACAGGAATAAATGAGCTCTATTAGCTTGCTTTCAATTTTGAGAGTTGATAATTTTGTCCAACTACTTTTGTGTTTTTCTAACTTGTTGACTCATCAAAGGTTTTTATCCATGATATAGGTATGTCATGAAATTACTTTTATACATGTGTTTAAGACAATGGTTTTATGTCCAGTTCATGTAATATTCTTTCTTTGAATTTAACAGGGTTATTTAACAAACTCTCCACGAGTTCTGTCTAATAACTCTTCAGAGTTACTGTTTGACCTGACCCAGGATACAGGATTATCACATTACCAAGGGGGACCAGCACTTTCTATTGCAGGTTGGTGTCATTACTTTTTTCTTTAAAAGAGTTAAAAGAAAGTTGATGGATAATCATATGGAATTAACTTTGTGTTTTGAAGCCCGTACCTTTGTGTGAATGTATTTGTATATTGTAATATGGACTGCTGTAAGTAGTTTTTAGTGTCTTTTTGAGGCAGTTTTATGTAAAATCTTCACTAAACCACATTGTACTCTTTTTCCCCCCTGTGGATCCAACCTTAAAAATGCTTAAAAAACATCAGTGAATTAGAGATAGCTTGAGATACTATAAACGTTGTTAAGAAAAATTAGTTTCTGTGGTTACTAGTGTAAACAGGTATATGGTTGTAATTGAATTCTTAATTAGGTTAATGCCTCTATTTCAATAAGTGATTTCAGTATATAGTTATGTATGACTTTATGGTGCTATAAAGTGGCCACAATTAAATAGTTTTTAGACTAGTGACGTGACTCAGCAGGCAAAGGGACTTGCTTTCAAGCATAATGACCTGAGCTCCATCGCTTGGACCCACATAGTGGGATGAGAGAACTGACTCCTAGCAAGTTGTCCTCTGACCTCCACATGTGTGTTTCTACCATCCTTCCCTTGCCCTCCCCTCCTCTCATAAATAAAAGGTAATTAAAGAAGTAGTTCTTGAATGTGGTGGTGTACACCTGCAATCTCAGCATTTGAGGCTGTGGCAGAGGATTATTGTCAGTTTGAGGTCAACCTGGACTATGTAATGATATCAAGGCCATTCTGTGCTACATAGTGGGACTGTGTCCCCAAAACAGACAAATTATTAGTAACTTAAACATAGTAAAAAATGGTCTTTAGAGTGAGAGGGCCGTGGAGCCAGAGCAGATCCACGACAAATTTCTAAAACCCTGCCAGGGACCAGACCTTAGTTTCCATTCACTGGAACTGGCTGGAGCTGAGCAAGCAGTTCTTGGGGAGATCACAACTCAGGGGCAACCAGTCAGCAGGTGCCCCACAGCCTTTTGCTGACTCAGTAGCCCCCCCCCCCCAACTCCCAACATTCTGCTAGCTAAAGATAGCTTTTCTTATCCTCCCTTCAACAAGCCCCTAACCACTCCCACCAATCAGCCCCCAGACTAATCTTTCCTCCACCAATCAGCACCAGATTAATCCCTCCTCCCTGGAATTCCCCTAACTCCACTTAAAAGAAGCTTGCTACCTCCCTTCCGGGGCGCTATTTGCCACCCCAGCATGTTGGAAATAATAAATGCTCTTGCTGATTGCATTTGTGACTGATGGTCTTTCTTGGGGGCTTCTCTCGGACCCTAACAAGAGTAATGAAATTTACCTATTGAAGATTTAAAGTTCCTTTAGTGCATATGATAAGTATTCTTCATTAATTTAAAATATATTAGTGTACCATGGAGGAATTTTGTCTTTTGAAAATTCCTAATAATTAAGGCAAGTTAATTCTTTAACGGTAGCAATTTGTATTTATTCAAGTATTTTAACTAAGATGTACAAGGTATTTTGGAATGTGTAGATTGTTTACTAGATAGATTAATGAGGTATTTACCAGATTTCCTGCACTTTGTTTTTTCATAATAGGGCTTAAAGTGCTTTTCCATTTTAAAAATACCTTATTTGATAAACACGTCTCTGAATGTCACTTACATACATAGTTTACTAAAATGTTTACTAATATCTTGTTAATAAAATAGGTACAAGCGAAAAGAAACGGAGAAAAAATATTTGTATTAAATCTGGCATTAGGAAGCTCATAGACTTTACTCATAGGAAAAGTCTTCAGTCTTGAAACTTCTGGGAAGAAAGAACCAATAAAGACTCCTATTCTCCCTCTCAGCTTTCTACTACAGTGAGTGAAACTTCATTAAGTGGGATAACTAGGAAGTCGTAGGTTTGAACCTCTGCTCTTAGGAATGTTTAGTTTTTATCAGATCAGTTGACCTCTTTGTACTTTCAATTTTTCATATTAAGAGATGGGGCTATTCATTTATCTTTTGTAATTCATTCAGTTCTCCACACCTGGAGCAAGGCACCTGAAGATATCATTTTGACTCTTGCTCTAGTTCACACAGGGCTTTTTTGATGCCCAAACAAAATAAGTGAAATGTGAAAATAAATTTATAAGGTTCAAAGGATTTGATAACAAATACCGGTAGCATGATTGACAGACTACTGTCTGGAGATTATGAGGTTTGAGTTTGACTTTGAAAGAAAGCAGCATTTTTTATTGGCAGAGCTAGAATTGTTTGGGGGTAGGGAGTAGCACAAGCCTGACAAAGCAGATAAAGGGTCAGCATTTAAAACACATGCAGGACCAGTTGACATGGATCAGTTGGTAAAAGCATTTGCTTCCAAGTCTGACAGCTTGAGTTTGATCCCTGGAGCCTACATGGTAGAAGGAGAGAACAGACTCACAGATTGTTCCGAGTTTCACTGAAATTCCATGACTTGTGCACCCCTTCACTCATATGCACAGAGATAGATAAATAAATGGAAAAAAGATTGGAATGAATGCAAAGTGGTTTTATTTTATGTTGAGATTTCTCATGTTAAATTTTCTCATGTTAAATTTTTACATTGAACCGTCTATTTTTACCATTCATTCTATTTTGTAATTATTTGATTAATTAAAAATGCTATCACTCATTTGTTTTCCAAGTAACATAAACATGTTAATACGATTACACTACCAGAGATCTTTTTCATGTATCTGCAGTGTGTCTGTCTCTGATCAAGTGTTTTTTTGTTTTGTTTTGTTTTGAAGACAGGGTTTCTCTGTGTAGTTTTGTTCCCTGTTTCCTGTATCTTGGTCTGTAGACCAGGCTGACCTCAAATTCACAGAGATTCGCCTGGCTCTGCCTCCCAAGTACTGGGATTAAAGGTGTGCTCCACCATCGCCCGGCCTTCAAGTGTTTTGAAGATCAAGAAAAAAATCATTATTATTTTGTCTTGAAAGATGAAACAATGAAATGAGCTAGTATAATATTCTTATTTCTTGGAAAGTTTGTCCTCATTAAAAATAACGATAGGCAAATCTTTTGGAATAATTTTATTCTTTAAAGCAAGTTAAGGTATAAAGTGTTTTGTTAGTAATGATAATTGTTATTTATTATTTTTCTATGTACCAAGTATTTTAAGGTTCTTTGAATACATTGTTTGACCTTAAAGTAACTGTAAAATAAGATATAATGTACTTTACAAAATGGAAAATGAAACTCAGAGAAGTTAAATAAGAATACATAAAGCGAAACTGACAGAAGTCTGGGTTTGAACTCAAGTTATCTAACTTACATGCCTGGAATATCTTTAACATTTGTTGTTTTTACATTTAATGTACAGATGGGACTATTTAATACACAGTTAGGGAGTCCTTTGTACAATGTACATTATGTGTTATTTTAAAAAAATACTTTGTTTGGCCTAATTATAGTCTCTCTGCCCCTCAATCTCTTGCTGATATTCTACTGTTTAATCTTTTAGCTTTATGGTGATTTTTTTCAAATGGAAAATTATTTTTAAGAATGAAATCTCTATGTAAACAAAGATTCATGCAAAAGTCTAATAAATCAAATGGAAGAGTTTTTTGTTTGTTTGTTTTTGGTCAGGCACTCTTTAATATATTCCCTAAAATGGGACACAACTCCTGCTCTTATATGCCCTTTCATTTGAGTGAGTAAAATATTATTTAGGCATAAAAGTTTCTATTTTGTACATAGCAGTAAGTGTGTAATGTCACAACCATAAAGAGATCAGTTTGTTCATTAGATGGAAAAGGACTAATGTCACATTAGGCATTTTAAATAGTTACAAAATTTTAGCCTGGCATCATAGTGCACACCTTTAATCCCATCATCACTCAGGAGGCAGAGGCAGGCAGATCTCCAAGTTCATGGCCAGCCAGGTCTACAGAATGAGTTCCAGGACATCTAGGGATTTACAGAGAAACTCTGTCTTGGAAAAAAAAAATGAAAGAAATTTTAGAATCTATAAATGTTTAGAAAAAATGATTGTGTGTGTGCGTGCGTGTGTGTGTGTGCGTGTGTGTGTGTGCGTGTGTGTGTGTGCGTGTGTGTGTGTGCGTGTGTGTAGTACAAACTTAAATGTATTTAAGCATCTGAAGATTATTGGTTCTTAGGAACTTCAGAATATCTTTCAACAGTTTTTTTTTTCAAGCCATATTGAGAATGTTCTTGCATAGAAAGGTAATTTCACAGATTGATCAAATAAATATAGCCCTTCGTAAGTTTTTATGCTATTTCTTTATACTCTCTTAAGTTTGTATCATTTAATTTTTTTATTTTTTTTATTTTTTTTATTTATTTATTTATTTTTTTTTGAGACAGGGTCTTACTATGTAGCCCTGCTTGGCTTGGAACTGGTTAGGTAGATCAGGCTGGTCTCAGATTCACAGAGCTCTGCCTACCTCTGCCTCCAAGTACTGGGATTAAAGGTGTGTGCCACTGTGCCCAGCATTATCATTAATTTTTATCATTGATAGTTATATATTTTAATTCCCACATATAGACTTAACTAGTTATGAGCAGTATTTTATAACATTTTAAAATCTTTTTCCCACTATTTAAATCATTTTAGGTTTGAATGAAAGTTCATTTTCGTCAAAACGTCTTTCTGGTTCTGACATAAGCAGTGTTAACCCAAAAAAGCCTAAAGCCAGTGACAGTATTCCTGGAACAGATGCCTCTTCTGTAGTCCCAGAAAAGCCCCCATCAGTGTCGTCTCTGCAGGTGGTGACATCGCAAGGTAACGAGGACAAAATTACTGTGGTATTTAAAGATAAGGTTTGCAAATTGTTACAGATTTAGAAACTAATAGTGGTTATTTAAAGTTAAAAAGTGCTGAATTGATGGCTTACTGGTGAAGAGCCTTAAAACCCTTGCAGAGAACCCCAGCACCCACACTAACACCAGCTAACTCGAGCTCCATGAGGCCTGACATTCTCATCTGGCCCCACAGCCGCCAACAGAAATGTGGCATTCTTGTACACATGTGTGTGCACCGAGTAATAATTAAAAATAATTCGTTTTAAAAAAAACCCTGAAAAGTGCTTTTTGTTTCATAATTGATTTGAATTTATTTTTAGGTGTAAATTGCTCATCAAATCAATCTAAAAATGGAACAACTTTTCCAAGAGCATGTCCTAAATGCAATATTCACTTCAATCTTTTGGATCCTCTGAAAAATCACATGACGGTAAAATTTTTAAGATCTAATTTTAAAAAGTTTGAAAATCTCTCAAAATGTTAATGACTGGTTTATAGTAAAGGATGGTTTGTTCTAACGAGTTAGGTATGAAATCTCATACTGGATATATCCATAGTGCTTCGGTAAAAGTTTATATTCAAAATGGTTCTATAAGGTAGTGAAATTCTGCTGGGCATGGTGGCACATGCCTTTAATCCCAGACTTGCAAAGCATAGGCAGATAGATCTCTGTGAATTCGAGGCCAACCTAGTCTATAGGACAGTCACAGCTATACAGAGAAACCCTGTCTCAAAAAACCAAAAAAGAAGACAGTGAAATTCCTTAGTCCATATATTTTACAATATTTGCTTATTATATTCTGGTTTTAAACAATATATTGATTAAATCATATTCAGATTTGTAAAACATTTTATTGTAAATTTAATTTTTTTATAACTTAAAAATTCTATTTTATATATATGGTAATGTGTGCATTCCTCATTAGATGATGATCTAAGATATACATATTAATTGTCAGTATTCAGATATAAACTTTAAATGCTCATGTTTTTCTTATGAAATAATTGTTTTGATAATGCCCAGAATATAGTTTGTACAATTACTACAAATTAGTTTAAAGTTTTTATTGAAGTAAGAAGCTTTTGGTTTAGATTTTAAGAAAATTTCAAAGTATTTATGAATTATGAAGGTTAGCTAACACATTCGTTCAAATACTAGCTTTTACTGTGCTCTGCTGTGCCTTTATAAAAATGTTCTGTGATCTTGTTCCTACTATAAATGACAACAAGGCAGGAGGAGATAAGAAAAAGCAATATAGAATGTAAAAGGAAGAGAATGAAAGAAAAGAATTAAGTAGCTATTGCTATTTCAGAGACTGACTATTTTTTTTAACTCATTATTTTTAAAAACGGAAACAGGAGAGGGGAAACATGTCTGTCAGTGGTATTGCCACTAGTTAAGTTGTCCATACTCTTGTAAATAACCCTTCACTCATCAAAGTAATCACAGTCAAACTGATTGAGCTTAAAAAAAAAAAAAACACAAGCTGAAGACAGGAGGAGGACTTACTACTTCTTGGGAGCAGGCAGAATAGGAACAAGGACAAGAGAGGATAGTGAAGGTTGAATGTGATCAAAATATATTATGTACAGATATGAAAATGTCATAGTGGAACCATGCTTATGAATAGTTAATATAGACAAAAAAAAAACTTTGAAAAATTCCAAACCTAGTCTCTTTATTCAGAATTATATTTGATTTATACTACTTGTAGCTCCCAGAGTGTAGCCTTGAGAATTGTACTTTGTGCTTTGCTCATACAGGAAAATTATCCTGTTCAAGTGATTTCCACTTTCTTTGTAATGTTTTAAAATATGATGGTTTATATGTTTGGCATTAGAGATAGAGGGTCAAAAGGGAATACATTAGTTGTCTTACTCATTTTTTGACTAAGTTTTGTAACCACATGATTCATAAAAGCCTATACAGGGATGCAAATGAGGAGTCTGGCCCCAATTCATATCTACCTGATTCCTAAGGTGACTCTCAAAGTAAATAACTTCATATTAGTTTGCTTTATGTACTCTCTGGTTTTCTTTTTGTGTTTATAGATAAATATGAATGTTCTTATTTTCCCTCTTATGTGTACAAATTGTATTATACTGTATAGTCTTCTTGGCCTAATTGACTTTCTATTGCTGTGATAGAAACATCATGACCAAAAGCAATGTAGAAAGGAAAGGTTTTATGTCAGCTTATAGTCAGTCTATTATGAAAGGAAGTCAGGGCAGGAACTCAAGGCAGGAACCTGGAGGCAGGAACTGAAGCAGAGACCTTGGAAGAATGCTGCTTACTGGCTTGCCTCTCATGGTTTGCTCAGCTGGCTTTCTTACACAACACAGGACTGCTTGCACAGGTATGGCACTGACCCTAGTTGGCTAGCCCCTCCCACATCAGACATTAATAAAAAAAATTGCCTCACAGACTCATCTATAGTCAATGTGATTGAGGCATTTTCTCAACTGAGGTTCCCTTTTCCCAGATGACTCTAGTTTGTGTCAAGTTTACAAAAAACTAATCAGGACACTTTTGCACTTGGAGAGATTGGTGACCTCTGTCCTAAATGTGTTTTTTGTTTTTGTTTTTTATATCTTTTAGCATTATTTATGATTACTTTTATTTGAAATTGCCAAAATGTTATATAATATTCAAATAGTAGAACCGCATACCATTTTATGAAAATAACATAATTCATAAGTGAATGTATGTATTTTATTCTTGTATATAATCTTTATTTCATAGTGGATATATACACAGTAATCAAATTTAGGAAGGGTAATTTTAAAACCATTGGGCAATTCTTTAGGCACAGAAAGACAAACACTCCATGATCTAAAAAAAGTTATCTCAAAAGTAAAATATTTTATTTGAGTCTAAGGAGGTTAAGGAAGAAGAGGATGGAGAGGTTAACAGTACTATGTTATATAGCTAGATAGGAGGTTCTTACGTTGTACAAGAACATAACATGGTAGGATGAATATAATTAAAAGCAACACATTTTATCAAAAAGAGAAAGGCTTTTTGAATGTGCTAATAAGGAAATGATAAAAGTTAAAGTAATGGTTATAATTATTACTGTTATTTGATCATTACCCAATGTAACCATGAGTCAAAACATAATGCTAAACTTTATAAAAGTTCCAGTTCTAGTCCCAACTTTAAGAAAATGGGTTAGGGGCTGGAGAGAGAGGTCAGTGGTTAAAGCACTTGCTCTCTTGCAGAGGACCTGTATTTGGTTCCCACACCCACACGGCTGCTCAGAACTATGTGTAACTTCAGTCCTATAAGGACCTGACACTCTAGTCTGGCCCCTAGGGGGACTCAACACACGTGCACATACATAAACGCAGGTGAACAATACACATAAAATAAAAATAAATCTTTTAATAAACATTTCAGTTACAGGATCTTTTAACTTTCTAGCTTGACAAGAACGAAGTGTAAATGGTGTCTGGTAACTTGTTAAACTACAGACTACAACCCGGAAGGTGTTTAATATGTACAGGAGGACTTAGCTCATCAAAAGAAGGCCTGCATACGTGAAAGACTGTGGAATAGGCTCAGAGCCAGAGTCACTGTATCGTCAAATAAAGTTGTGTAGTTTACTTTGGATCCTAGTATTGTGCCCTCCATATCTTACTATCTTTGATATTCAAACCAAAATCTAAACTTAATCCTTGTTTTTAACATTGTACTTGCGTTTTGAATGTTGTAGGATATTTTGATTTTGCTCAAGAACAGTCCCCTACTCCTTTCAGTATACCTTGTATGTTTTTACTTGTCATTTGTTTTTCATCTGTTTATTTCTTCTGGGGACCTAAATCTAAAATGCTATGGGATAGGTATTCTGAACAAGGATTTTTTGCTAATTTTAAAACTCTGATCCTGTCTTGTGATAGAAAATATTAAAGCAAGTAATTTATCATCTGTTATGTATATCATAATTTCTGAGTATGTTAGTGTGACCATTAACTTTCATAAATAGTGAAGTAGACATTTTTGGAGAGCACAAGTCTTGCACCACACCTTTCTGTAAGTCTTTTCATAGGTTCAGAAGAGAATCCCATACCAAGTAGAACATGGAGTGGCTTCCGCTGAAAGCCAGACCTAACATTTAGGCCGTAACATTAGCCCATTATACATTAGAAGACGCTGCATTAAAGAATTTTATAAATTCCAATTTTCCTGTGGTTTTTGTGATTTTCTTTCCACATAGGAGGGTTTTAAATAAGGATAATGCTTTGTCTGTTAAAATAATGCCATTGATGCACATACATAATATATAAATTTTAAGTAATTTCATTCCTGCAATCTCCCTCTGGACACCTGTCTTTCTTTGATTGAATCCAGGGCCGTGTGTATGCTGGGCAAGTGCTCTACCACTGACCTGCCATAGGCCTGGAGTGATTCTCTATAGTAGAGGGGTATAGTAGAGAAGTACCATGCTTCTCTTCCTTAAAATTAAGAGTAGCATTATTTCTACTAGTCTTATAAAAGTCCTTAGAAATAGCTTGATTTTCCTAATTTTGAGTTCATATATTTTAGCATATACCTCAGGAAAAAATCTAGAAATAAGGCTGGACCCTTAATCCAAGCACTCAGAGGCAGAGGCAGGCAAATCTTTGTGAGATCAAGGCCAGACTGGTCTACTTAGCAAATTACCAGCCAGCTGTTTCAAAACAACAACAAAAAACCCAACTGGGTTGGGTGGCTGTAGTTCCATTTTATCAGAGGGAAAAAGATCATCTTATTAGGATACTAATGTGCATATCCTTCAAAATAAGGTCTAACTATATAGCCCTGGCTGATCTGGAACTCACTCTGTAGACCAGGCTGGCCTTGAACTCACAGAAATCCATCTGTCTCTACCCTCTGAGAGCTGGAATTGAGCTACCATGCCCAGCTAACACTTACTTTAATTTTGTTTATGAGTGAAACCTCAACTGATAAATGTTGGTTATGTTCTTCTCTTATGAGATTTATTCAATATTTTTCCTACTTCCTTGATATATTTTAAATGTTGTTGATGTTTTTACTTTTGTGGGTTTAGAAATTAAAAAGTGGGCTGTGAAAAGAGTTTAAGCAATCAGCTCCTTACAGGAGTACCTAATCTCAGAACCCACATTTATAAAGGTCAGGGTACACCTTTAATCCCAGCACTCAGGAGGCTGAGGCAGGTGGATCTCTGAGTTCAAGGCCAGCCTGGTCTACAGATTGAGTTCCAGGACAGGCTTCAAAGCTACCCAGAGAAACCCTGTCTCAAAAAAACGAAAACAAAAAGGTCGGGGTGGTATTCATGCTGTAGTACAAGCTAGGTGGCTGGTGCTTGAGGAATGGCAAGAGGCTTGGTGTATGGCTTCCATAGACATGTGCATGTAGGTGTGCTCACACCCATATGTGCACACCTGCATTTACATAACACACAATATAAAAGATAAAAGTTGGAAAATGAAATATAGTAGGAATAATGTAACCTTGCAGAAAATGTTGTACATCTAAGGATCACTTGTGGTAAAAGAGGAAGTGGATGTTTTAACCATAGCATAGAATAATTTGTATTAAGGTTTTCAGATGCTGATTTAATAGCATACTTAAGAAACATTTAC